CCTTTTCACCCTCCCCAACACCTACATAGCTCGAGAATCAGAAACCTCACCAGCATTTGCAAGGCCTGGCCCTGACTCTGCGTTTCCTCCTGCTAGATGGTGCTTCCCTCTCCGTTCAGTACTTTTCTTCCCATAGACATTGTATCTAAAAAAACGAACACTGAACCATAAGGGACATTAGCAAAACTGTCCAAAGAGCAAAGGAAATTTAGAAACAAACTTCGCAAACTGTGGATTTTTTAGAAGTAAAGAAAATCTTTCCCAACAAAAAGAAAAATAGGAGATAAAAGAAAAATAGAAGGTAAAATCTGTTTTCACCGAGATCCAAAATTAGTTTATGTGATTTTGATGAAATTTCCTCCCCCTGCCATTCTCTGCTATTTTGTCTCATGCTAACTTTTGCTCATTTTCTCTCTGTCTGACTTCTGTCTCTATCACTTCCTCTCTCCCTCCCCCCCCTCAGATTTTCTCCTCCTACTTCTTTATTGCTATATTCTGCAGCTTTATCAAAAATCCATTATTTATTCAGTGCCCAGTAACAAATCAGGTAGAGGAGATATAAAAGGTAAAGCATATAGTTTTTGCTTTCACGTAGGTTACAATGGCAGCAAGTCCACTGATTTTTATATCACCATCCTTACTATCGTCATAATCACAATATTTGAAACAGTACTTGGAAAATGCCAAGGGAAGCCTGTGAAAAGTGTCAGCAGAGATATTTGGAGCAACAGTGACAACAAAATAACCTCACAGAGGAGATGCGGCTTACACAGATCTCACGGCCTTGAAGCCATGTGGAGGAAATGGATGTGAAACCACCTGCTTCTTGGTCTTTTTTAATCAGTCACAAAAGAAAATGAAAGATTCCTGACTAGCTCCATGACCAGCTCTCAACTTATTAGTGGACCCAGTTGCTCTGGTAAGAAGGTTAAAATTTGTACCCAAGGCAATGATAAATATCAGAGGTCTTCCACTTTTAACTTACTGTGCTTAAATTGTAGGTGCTTAAGGAAAGTATGTCTTCAGATTTCTGAGGACGCTAATACAGTATTGTAGATAAAAGATAGTACAGACATGAATTGTGGTGATAGTAATGGAGATGAAGAAGGGGAAACAAGCTTTAGAGACTATTAAATGTGCTTTTTACTATATACACTGGAGTACTACTCTGCCATAAAGAAGGATAGACCACACATTTCTAGGTAAATGAATGCACCTTGAGAACATAATTTTAAGTGAAGTAATCATACACACATATTTAAATATAGCATTATTTCTTTCCCTTGTGTGAGAAAACCAAAGGGTGAATAAGGACTAACATGGAATATAGACATTGCACAATGGGAAGTGTCCCAGTGGGAAGGGGAGCAGGGTAGTGGGAGAGGGGAAGGAAAAGAAGGGAATGGGGGTAAGAAAAAGAGAATGGAAGGAAACAATAGAAGGAAAGTTCTATAAGTGAGAAAGGAAGTCAGAATTAAAGGGCAAAGAAGATAATGGGAAAAGATAATTAAGATATGTAGAAGTACAATTTCCCTATGATGAATGTGATCATTATGTATGTCAAAAACATACCAGTAAAATTAATTTTTTAAAAATATTAAGAAGTAAAATTTTGGGTCTGGATGCAATGGCACATGCCTGTATCTTTAGCTAGTGGGAAGGACATAGCATCACATATCATCACCATAAGCATCACTTGGCCTGTCTCAGTAAAAAGGCCAGGGATGCAGCTCGGTGGTAGAGCACTCCTGTGTTCAGTCACCTGTACTACAAAAAATATTTACAAAGAACAAAATTTCAGGAACTGAAGAGCATGTAAATGTTTGTACTCAGATATAGCAATAGATTTCACATTTCTGAGAGATTAATCTGGAGATGGAAATTTCAGAGCGCCAACACATAGCAGGGAATGATAATCAACCAGTGGTGGCAAACCTATGGCACTTGTGCCACATTGGGCTGTGTGTACCACTGAAAGCTCTAAACGGTTCAGCACCACTGAGCTAGATTATAAAAACAAATGAACAAATGTGGCCAAGGTAGTATGCTCCTGGAATTCCAATATATATTTTATTTTATTTTTAAAAATTTATTTATTCATTTATTTATTGGTACTGGAAATCAAACTCAGGACCTTGGGCTTGCCAGGCAAGGTTGTGCCACTGAGCTATATCCCTAGGTCTCCAATATTTAAAGGGGAAAGAAGTTTGGGGAACCAGCAGGTAGATGAATGATGCGCAGGTGCATAGGCAGATAATAATGAGCACATACAGCTCAGACATACATAACTTATATATGTATACACCTATATATAGGTATGCATATGAGCAATGTAGAAATATCTATATTCCTATACTAGCTATTTGTCACTGATGAAAAGCTATCAAATAGACTAAAATACCTAGCTCAAGTTAACTCCTCTGTCCCCATGCTTAATTATATAGAGTTAGAAAAAAAAAAAAGAAATACAAACCTGTGTCTCCATCTTATCTTTCCCCTAACTGAATGCACTCTTAATGTGAGTAATAATAAAAATTGCAGAAATTTTTTAGTAGGAAAATATGTTTAAAAATCAATAAGTATTCATGATCACATCCAAGAATCTTTTAAATTGTATTTAGCACATAATAGGATAGCTTATCAAATTCAGTAATACTTTGCATTGATTTCCATAATGTGTAAAGCGCGGTTCATGTTGTAACAAGAATTTTTTTTAAATGTAGATGGAAAAATGAGGAATTATCTCCAGGAAATGAGTCTTAACTGTTATGACTCATAATATAACTCAGCATACTTCAAGTGTGGTAATTCAAAATGCTCTGACCTGTTATCCTATGAAGTGGGAGATTTGCCTGTCATTATACCACTAGAAAAGCCAGAAAATGCTCACTCCCCAAAATCATCATTGTCCCCTACAATTATTTAGACATTTTGGACAAAATTTTAGTTTCCATTGGGCATAGCTAAGACAAATAGTGCAAGGAGATTAGAAACTGTTTTGTAGAACTGAGTCCATGATTGCTTTTGCCCTCATAAAGACTGAACTTTGGCCTTGCCTGGACCTGAATTTTAGAGATTTAAGAAAATATCTGAGTTGTGAGCATAATCACCTATGATATCTCTTCTATACTTTACTCTATTTCTTTGTTCCTTTAAAGTATACACTATAAATTTGTTCCTCTAAAATTTATTCTCTAAAAGCACTAATGTTAACATATAAATATAAAATACAGGATTCAATTCATGTATTAATGAATATATAATTTGAAAAACTGATAACTTTCCAAATTATACATCAAATCACAAATGTCTTTTGGTAATTAAAAATATGTTAAGTAACATTTGCAGATACAAATTATTACATTACTGTATTTCTTTTTGAAACATAAGCATATATTCAAGTCTAGTAATACCTTTTAGAAATATGCTTGCTATCAACGTTAATGTGAATGCTAGAGGTAAATGATCTTTTAAAATCAATTTATTGATCTATTCATTTATTTATAGTATACATTGTTCAGCAAAATGGATTTAAACGTTTCTAGATCGTACTTTACTGTTATTTTAATCATTAATTCACAGATTTTCCATATGGTAAAAAATTTAATAGGCTCATTTGAAATTTTTATGGTGATTTGCATTGTGGCTTCTAAAATTTTCATATTTATTAATTTTCATTTTAAAATACATTACCTCAGAGAGAACTTCTAATGGAAATTTGCTCTGATTTATGATAATACATATATATCACCTTCACAAAATTATTATTTTTAATTTGTCTTTAATTTTGATAAACATACAGGAATGTCAATTTGATGAAAAATTGACATTATAAAAAATTCTGTCCCTGTGCAGAATTTTAAAAATCTACCTTATTTATAATGAAAAATAAAACAAAACAAAACCACCATGACCAAAAGTTTAAACTTATAGTGTTCTTCTTCCTACTGGCATATATTTCCTCAAATATAAACCGACGATGTATCATATTCAAGAAGTAGCTACCGCCTTGCCTTTCAGAGATTTTTAAAAAAAAATTTAGAAGGCCTACAGAGGTTCAATTTTCAATATTCTTTTAATAATAAAGTAAAACAAGTTTTGGATTCTCCATCATAAAAAATATTACTTTGTCTATTTATGGATTACATTTAATAATCAAGCAAAATACATTTATGACCCAAACTGAAACTATTCAAGAAGCATCTAATAAATATACCATAAGGGTATGAAGATTTCAAACTTAAAGAGGTAGGAGACCCAAATGTGTTACATTTTTCTGTAGAACATAACATTTGCATGAGTCTAAAGAATTTAAATATTTCTGTCTCGTTGAGGCTGTGATACCTGCTCATCGCCCAAGAAGGGTGATGGCCACATCAGACTTTCCAAAACAAAAATTCAGGAGAACTGTAAGAAAACTAAACTTGATTTAAAGTACATTCTGTGATAAGAATAGGCAGAAAGTTAATATTTTATTAAATACTTAAATATTTTAACTATTATATACCTAAGTATTTAGTAAAATATTTTAATAGTAATCAAAATGGAAGGAAAAAAACTCCTGGTCCAGAAAGAGGGAGTGCCTTACATTCAACCAAAGTCATCTCGTGATTTTTATATAGGATTTATTGTTGTTAAAAGCATAAAAACTAATTTATTTAGCCATTAACCAATTCCTTAGATTTTGTAAACCATTCTTCACCTCACTTTGGGGATGAAGAAACAATGTTGCTTTTGTAACATCCTTGAAGAGCTTGTAAGTAAAGATACAGACAATGTTTGTCTTCTAAATTGTGATTTTTCTTGCAGTGCGGTTTTCAAACAGAAACAAAGTATTCTGTCACACAAGGAGAGCGGTGCCTCCCTGCCCAACACTGACCATTTACCGCAGCCTTATCACTCCCAGTTACCAGCACACAATACATTTCTAATGTCTACTTCAAACCAATATTATGCCAAAAGGGAAAAGATTAAGGAAAAATTAATATTCTCGTTCTTACCTGTAACACATATATTTGTATCCAGGAAGGCAAAGCCAAAGACCAAAAGTTGAAACCACAAATGCATGGTCATATCTGGAAATCAGCCGTATCCCTAAGAAACAGCATGCGTCCTCCTAAAAGGCAAAATACTCGTTATCTTTCTGAAAGTTTTTCTCTGCAAAACTAAATCAAAAATAAAATAAATGAACTCGTACTCTTCACTGTTGTCTTATCAGGAGGGGAACAATTTCCTCCTCTGCTGTCCTAAGAACAAACCACTTGCTAGCTACACAAACTGCTAGGTGATGATGTCAGATTCGGTTTTACTAACTTCTCCAAAAATACTGTAAAGGAACCTCTTTGCAGGAAGTTAAAAAAAAGTTTAAATTTACTGCAATAGTGTCTTACTTCCTTAATTCAAGTAATTACACTGTTAGTAGATTTTTTTAAAGGACTTTGCCCCCTCCAAAGAAATGTTTTTAAGGTATTCAAATAATATTTCTCTACAGAATCCATTATGTGTTTTAAACTGCATTATCACCCAAAATAATCAAGAATTTTCTGAGCTAGGAAATGATAAAACAGATTCAGCATGGATATCACAAAATAGGAACTGGCAAAATGATACAGTAACTAAATTAGTGAAGATCTGAATTAGATTTATTAAGATGACCAAGTGAAGGAATAAACTTCCTATCTAGTTATTTTGGGTTACAAGAATCATTGACCATAGGGTGTTCAAAGCTCTGCAGTAGATGGCTTGAGAAGTTAAACTCATTTGCTATGCAAAGGCATCTCAGAGGGTGTAACAGTTTCCCCTGAATCTTTTGCAGATATCCTTGTGAGACTAGGAATAGAATCAAAATATTGCTTCTACCACAGCAAATCCTGCTTCCAACAATAAGTACTTCTGTGACCTAGAACATTCTCCTTGTTGTTGATGAGGGAAAGAAGAGCAGTGAAAACAAGCTGTCGTCTTTTATAAAATTGAGCCTTTTTTGTCTTTGTTGCAATACTTTCTCAACATCTTGGATAAATCAAAAATTAATATACAATATACTTTGTGTTCTAATAGTATTTTTACTAAGTCCATCAATTAGGAAGGTGCTTACTGGTTAAAAAAAAAAGTTAATATAAATTCAACATTACAATTAAATGAATTGATAATATTATCACAACATCTATATGTGCTTAAAAACAAAAGTACACACACAAACAACTTTTATTTGAGCTATAGATGAACCTTGGGGACTTTGTAGGCAGATAAAGCCCTTGCAGTAACTCTGTAACTCTATGTTAGGAATTATTACAGGATTTGTGTAATTATGTAAATTTTTTTGACAGTTACAAACTTCCTTTTTACTCTTACTTTGACTTGTAGGAACTACAGTCAAATTTACATCTGCCTTTGTGCAAATAGAAATATCTCCAAAGCTTAAACTATGGGTGATAACATTTTTAAAAGATTTTATTTATGATTACCTTTTTATTTTGATTATTACCATTGCTAGGACTCAGCATATTCAAGAATAGTGCTCAACACTATACATATATATATACTATGCAATTTGTATAACACTCTTGCTCGACACTATATATATATATACACATATGTAATTTGTATCACTCTCGAGAATAATGTTATTATTCTCCATTTTACCTATGCTGTTCAGAGAAAGGTTAGGTGATTTTTCTCAGGCTCACAGATAATAGGAAATGAACAATTCTCCAAAATTTTATCTCCAATTCTCCAATTCTCCAAATTTTATCTTACTTTCTTTACTGACCTTACTATCCTCTTCCTTCTCATCTCTTTCTCTGATCTGTTTTATGTATTTTTATAATTGTTATCTCTAAAAGAAAGACCATTAAGTCAGGAAAAATGATCTCTTTTTTCACAGAATTTTTAAATAAGATACCCGTGAAAGTGAGCACTGATTTTCATATAGGTAGACCTAATGAAAAATAAATGTCAGAGCATGTGGATTTGGGTACTCACCTCTTCATCCTACTTTTGAAGTGTATGTACAATGGAATAGTCTTTGGGAATTATCTTTGAATGTATTTAATAAATACTGTGTTTTGTTTGCCTGCTATTATGACAGGATATCTGACAAAACTGGAGGCCAGGAGAAAAGTGCATGACATGCAATCTTTCAAAAGGGAAAATGGTGTGTAAAAATTACTCTATAAAACTGAATTTAGCAGCTTTAAAGACACATTAGAAAAAGACTGCAAATTGTGGCTTTAAAAAAACGGCAAGAGGCTTAGCAATTCTATTCATTTCAAGCAGGTGAGTAGAGAGATTAATTAGCAACAAATCAGTTGTTTTATGTTTTACTTCAATCTGTTAAAGTTGAATTTAGTGCCTACAGGAAATACTGCAATTTTTGGTAGCAAAAGCCGCGCTGTACATTACAACAAAGGCTGCAAGAGACAGACTTTGATGTACGAAGACAATGGTTGAATGGTGATGCCTACAAGTGGAGACAATAGCTCTCAAAGCTTTGATGTCACTGGGACCCAGACAGGACAGTCTGGAGAATCTCTCTCAATCTCTCTCTCTCTCTATCTCTCTCTGTCTCTCGCTCTGATGGGAGATTGAACCCAAAGCCTGTGACTGAGTTATGTCCCCTTACCATCTATTTTTTATTCTTCATCTTGAACAGGGTCTTGCTAAGTCACTAAGTTGCCAAGGCATGGCTCAAACTTGTGATCCTCATGCCTCAGCTTCCCAGAGTGCTGGGATTACAGGCATGCACCATCATAGGCAAATCTCTTTATTGCCTTTGGGCCTGCCATATGGTCCCTTGCCATGCTGAAGTGGAAAACTCTAACAGAAAATAGGAGCATTGGTCCAAGGTGGGCAAATTGGCATGGCCATGTTTCAAGGTAAAATGAAAGTGGCTGGAGATACAGTTCAGTATAGAGCTCAAGGTTCTGTGTTCAATCTCCACTAGCAGGAAAAAGAAAATAGGAATATTTGTAACATACTTGTGGGATCTACTATTACTAATTCCAAGAGAGAATACAGGCACCCTACTGACATACAATGTGACTGAAAAATACAGTGCTTAAATTTTTAAAAATGTATTATAGTAAAAGTACATTGATGTTATTTCCCCTCAAAAAAACTGCTCTTCACTTTGAACACATTTGTCCCATCCTTCTTGCTACTTTCTAAAGCAGTTTTTGAGTCCGGATAAAGAGGATATGGAGATGCTATAGTGACAAGAACAATGATAAGTGCATGCAAAGTGAGGACAATTATTTTGAGGGAGGTTAATAGTGTATCTTTCACAATAATGGAATTTCTTGTTTGAGCATCACTGTAATTTTTTTTTTTTTTTTTTTTTGGTACTGGTAATCAAACTCAGAACCTTGCACTTGCCAGACAGGGACTTGTGCCACTGAACTATATCCCTGGGCTCATCACTGTAGCTTTTTATCACAACCTTGTAAGAGGGTATTTTGTCAGAACAGAGGCTAGGAAAAGGCCAGGCTTTAATAGCAGATGTATACACAGGAAATATAGACAATATTTTAGAGTTATTGGAGACCTTATGTGTTTAAACAATCTTACAGTTTGATAAATAAAATTTCAAAGTGCTTATAATTGACTGCCTTACATTTTGCAGATTTTAAGTTACATAAAGGGTATATAAAGATAGGCAGATTAGGTGAGGTTAACTATAGAAGCAGATGCTCTACCTTCCTTTCTTCTCCCTCCCTCCCTTCCTTCCTTCTTTCCTTCCTTCACTAAATACAAAGCAAGTTCCTTATATAGCACAATCATTTTTCCTGACTTGAGGAAAAAATAATGAGCAAGAATAAATATTATCCATGCCCTCTTTTTTTTGCTGATTTTTTTTGGCTTTTTTCTGGTACCAGGAATCGAACTCACGACTTGCATTCGCCTGGAATGCGCTGCGCCGCTGAGATAAATCCCCAGCCCCCGATCCATGCCCTCTTTAGAGCTCACTGGACAGCATAATCATGAATTATCTGACCATGGACAAGTTAATCACATGGGAAGTACTTGGCGCTCTGATTTAAGGATAGACTAGAATATTAGTCAAGTCCTGTGATGGACAAGTTTGCCTAAAATGAAAAGGACTGAAGGAAGACATAAAAAAATGATCATTAAATAGTATGGGGAGAAATGGAAACAGAAATATCACTATATTTCCCGGAAGAGTATCCAAGGGTGGAATGAGGTACATGTGGCTCTTGTGTAGAAAGGCAGACAGCAAAATGGTGAGGGTAGAGAGAAAATGGTAGCCAAAGCCTGCCAGGCCTAACAATTTACTTTTTTCTAACAATTTACTTCGATCCTGAGAGCCATGGGACCTATTGAAGCGTTATAAGCTTTAGTCTTGGATCTCCTCACCAATGATCTCCACGATGGCAGCCATATGCCTTTACTATTCTTCTGTCCTCATGTGGCTACTCAGAAGCATTAAATACAGTAGGACTTCCTTCCTTTCTTTAATCGTTACCTTTTGGGGACTCCAAAACATCTCCAGTTTTCTTGACACTCATTGGCATTTCCTCAGCAGCTACCGTGTTGCGTATTCCTCTACCTGATTTTATGTACTACCAGTATACATTAAAGCTCAGTTCTAAGCCCACTGTTTCCTTTCTGAGTCACTCCTTCATGCTGACTCATCAACTTGTATCTTTAGTCAGATCTAAGCTTTAGCTCTATAGACATACTTCGTGACTGCAACTGTGACAGTCTGCTGGTTGCCTTACAACCTCACTTATCCATTTTTTACCTTACCCTAACTCTCCAAGTTGTCTCTATAAATGCACCAACATATATACAGTAATTTTCCAGAAACCTAAATTACATATCCTTTTTCTTTTCTTTCACAATCATACACTAATTCATTAACAAACTCCACTTATTCTATCTCTGACATCTATCTTAATTGTGTTCCATTTCCAAAGAACCATGAAGGACCAAGCCACCATCACTGCCAAAACAGCTTTTCCATCTTATCTCCCTTCCATGTTTCCTCCAAAGGAAGAAGTCCCCTGGGATCAGCCTGTGCCACTGCCCTCTGTGAGTTGCCTGGGGCTGGAATGGCGAGAAGAGGTACAAGAGTTAAACTAGATATGAGATTGAAGTGTTTAACTGTGCTGGAATAAACTATTTCTTCCCCAAAGGGCTGGAAAATTATGAGTACTGTTATCTTGTATTCAGAAATGGAAAATGTAAATTCAGTATTCTGTGCCCTATCAACTTAAAGGCACTGTGGATTACAAGAAGCATCCAGACTTCAGCCAAGTTAAAATACAGCGATACCTTGGTTCATTAATTT